GTGTTTCGTCCGCTTCAAAGATTGATTCCTTTTGAAATCAACGAGAATCACGACTGCATGAGTGAACAGCAACCGAAGGAATCTAACGATAGTGTTGATAAAGACGAAAATGTGAATGAACCTGCTGTGACAGTGAACGAGGAAACCAGTGCGAAAAGGCCAACGCGAAAGGCAGCAATAGAAGGACAAAACTTGCGACGCCTTCGAGAACAATATAATTAATTAAGCACTTCCAAACATTCACCAGATAGTTACTTTTTGGTGGGGGAGAGTGTGGAAACTTCATTTAGTATATTTATTAGTTTCGTTTTGCCATTGGTCAGTTTGATCACATGATCATATTACGTGGTCAGACCACATGGACAATTTATTCATTATTGATTAAGGGTTTGATCAGCACGGTGTTTATGTAAATTATGCCAATAAAATCTATATAAAAAGTTGGACTAGTCTTGCTTTTTAAACTATTGCTCGACATTGTCCACGACAACTTTCTGAGTCAAATGATTTTCGAAATATTCTCGATCTCGTGCTCACTACATCCACAGATTACGTGCAAGACGCGTGCGTTGGCGATCCTTTCTCCGATCATAATTTAATCACATTTAAAATAGATAAAATGCCATACAAAACAAAACCTTGTAGCAATAGTCACTATTGCTACTGTAAAGCAGACTGGGCAAAATTGCAAAATCTCCTACACCTTGCTCCGTGGCACCTCTCTACGACCGAACATGACATGGATAGCAAGTGGCAAGTCTGGAAAGATCTATTAGCATCAGCCGTTGACGATAGTATCCCCAAGGTGGGTGCTGCTAAGAAAAGGCAAAATGCCCCATGGATAACGCGGGAATTGATCTTGCTATGTCGGAAGAAAAGGTCAGTTGATAAGAAAGCAAAGAGAACCGGTAAGACGCGAGATCAAAACAATCTATAGTAAACTAAACAATATGGTTAAAAGGAAATGCAATATTGCTCGATGGGAATATATAAATAGTTTAGCCGAAAAAATTTCGAGCAATGATGCGAAACCGTTTTGGAGATATGTAAATTCTAAGCGGAAGGGAACAAACGATCTAATATTATTAAAAACACAGGATGGTGAGATTACAAATGACAGTGAAATTGCGGAGAGTATGAATTAATATTTTTCATCAGTGTTTACCGAGGAAACTTTTGAAAACTTTCCGTCAATGATACAAAGGGCAAAGGATAGTTTAACTAATATCGAATGTACCGTTGGGAAGTTGAACGTCGCCTGAAACAGTTGAATGTAAACAAGTCTCCTGGTCCAGATGATATTTCTCCACATGTTTTTAAACAATGTTGCACACAGCTTGCACATTCCCTAACAACTATTTTAAACGAGTCTTTTTCCACTGGTAAACTTCCGTATGATTGGAAGATTGTAAATATCGCCCCTGTACATAAACGAAAGTCGAAATCTATGAAAGAAAATTATCGTCATATCTCTCTAACGTCAGTCATTTCAAAAGTCGCCGAGAAGATCGTTCAAGAGAGATGTGTAAAATTCTGGGGAGATCGACATATTTTTTGTGAACATCAATTCGGTTTCCAACCAAATAAATCTACACTTTCCCAACTGCTACTATGTTTCAATGACTGAGCTAAATCTAGAGACGAAGCTACTCCCACTGATGTTGTAATTATGGACTTCTGTAAAGCTTTTGACAGTGTGCCACACGAGCGCTTACTATTACAACTGATTGAAACAACACGGTATCCGTGGAGCACTGCTCGATTGGTTTAGATACTTTCTCACGGACCGCTATCAACGTGTTATCGTACTTGGCTCGCAGTCAAACTGGTCCCCAGTTAAATCAGGGGTACCCCAGGGAACAATCTTAGGTCCAATTTTGTTCATCATTTCAAAACGATCTACCATCGGAAATCCAAAGCTCGACTAAGCTCTTCGCAGATGACACAAATATTTACCGAAAATTAGTAGACAAAGTTGCTGATACTAGTATTTTACAATCTGATTTAGACCGTATGAGAAATTGGAATGAAAATTGGCAACTAAACTTCAACTTTGAGAAATGCGAAGTAATGCGAATAACACACTTAAAAGACCTCCCCCTACCCGAATACTATCTGTCAGATAAGAAACTTGAAGTAACAGACAAATTTAAAGATCTAGGTATCATGATGACACATAAACTACAATCCTGGCAAAAATTATGTGGACACCTAACCTTTCTAACGCAAATATTAACATTGAGACATTCTTTCATGAAACTTGTCGCCCCCTGCCCCCTATTCAATGTTGTTTCTCGCATTTAAATTTTAAAGTTTCATTTACCAACATTGAATTGGGGGTAGGAGGGGGAGAAATTTTCTGGGGATTAGTTCTCTAGAAATACATCTATTTCTGTTTGACGCACGCGCTGTCCACAATAATTTTTGCCAGGATTGTCTGAAATTATCACATATTTCAAACCGTCCGATTTCATGAATTTAAGGCTTGATGCACTGATAAAATAGGCTTATTTGTTTAGCAAAAGGGGAAAGCAATTAGTAAATCAGGTTATATTTAGTTTTTTGTTTACTTTCCGATCTATGTTAAGTGTCACCTATCACATTACATGTCAAGTTGCTCTTTACGTATTATCTGGATTTATACAATTACAACTTAGTCTGCAACTCTACAAAGGCAAAGCAATATTTTCGTATAACAAATTATTGAACATCGTAGAGAACGACGACGTCTTAGTACTTAGTCAAACCTGAGTGCAAAATTTCCAGCCAAAAAATGCTTTTGTTTACCTCATAACTTACAGCCAAACAGATCTATCTTTAGTTCCTGAGCGTGAATCATTCGCATTGTTGCGGGTAATACATGCATTTCGAAATGCAGATCCTTTGTTAACCTGCATCATTTTTCAATGAGTTTGGAGCACCGAGCATCATATTCCCGTGTATTCATACAATAGACCTGTATAAAACTGCATAAATGTGTAATTAATGTTGTTTTGAACGTTTAGTAAATTGATACGGTACACGGTTGTGAGCGTAACCAAATTCACACTAAATATAACCGACCATAGGGATACTTTAGTGTATACGCATCCGAAGCGCTCACTATTTTCAGATTTTTTATAACAAACGCAGCCCAACAGCGACTGTAGAGCGCCTTTAAACTAACTGTGACGTCACACGGTACACAGTTGTGTAGCGTATAGTAAAGATACACAGCTTAAATATTTTTATCACCACGCTACACAGCGCCGTATACCGTGTGACGTCACTGTTAAATTAAAGGCGCTCTACACTCGCTGTTGGGCTGCGTTTGTTATAAAAAATATGAAAATAGTGAGCGCTTCGGATGCGTATACGCTAAAATAACCTTATTATAGTCTGTTATATTTGGTGTGAATTTGGTTATGCGCTTAATTAAAGTACTTTTGTTGAAAACTCGTCTTTAATACTGCGTCTGCATAATTAGCTCATTAACATTAAGACATTCTTTCATTCATTCTATTAACATTGAGACATTCTTTCATGAAACTTGTCGCCCCCTGCCCCCTATTCAATGTTGTTTCTCGCATTTAAATTTTAAAGTTTCATTTACCAACATTGAATTGGGGGTAGGAGGGGGAGAAATTTTCTGGGGATTAAGTCTGTAGAAATACATCTATTTTTGTTTGACGCACGCGGTGTCCACAATAATTTTTGCTAGGATTATAGCTTGGTCATCTCATGTCCATAATATTACTAGTAAAGCAACCCGAATGCTAGGTCTGGTTAAGCGAACCGTTGGATCAGCAACATTCACCTTATTGTACAAAGCTTTGGTTAGATCTATATTGGAATATTCCGCACCAGTCTGGTCGCCACACTTATCCAAGGATATCAAGGCTCTCGAATCCGTTCAGAGAAGAGCATCGCGGATAGCACTTAAACAGAAGCGGGGAGAGATGTCCTACCCAGATCGTTGTGACTTACTAAAATGGAATGCTTTGGAAAAACGAGAGAGTATTTATCTCTCATAGAGTGCTATAAAACAGTTTTTGGCCTTTATGGTATAAACTTCGATGAAGTTTTTGAATATAAGAAATCGAGGACAACCAGATCAAATCACAAATATTCACTATACACCAAGCTTTCTAGAGTTAACTCTTATAAGTATTTTTTTTTGTCAGAATAGTCACTGCATGGAACGCTTTGCCTCTGAACGTTGTCGAAGCGAATAGTTTTCGTAATTTTGAGCAGGAACTCAAGCGCCACATGAATATTTACTAATTTACTAATTTACTAATACGTCTATCTTAGTTTACTAATATACACTCATTAATGTATATACTATTAACACTTTTTATCGCTACTAATCTTTTCTAAGGGGGTTCTTATATAGGGTTAACCTTTCGATCCTCCTACAAGGACCTACCTCCTGTATATAGCTCGTAGGTATCTTGATTAAACATTTTGATTGAATGAATGAAAGATTTTTATTTTTCAGGGTAATCCTTTCAGTGCTACAGTGAACACTGTTATCAACAGGAGCCCTGAATAAAGTTACAAGTACAATAGTCGGCTATAGTATAAAGCTTAAATTGATAGTTATTCTTAAAATATATCGTGGTTTGATTAGCAAGGGCAGTATTTCCGTTTTAAAAAAACTACAAGTAAAACTTACCAGCTTTAGAATATCCTGGAATTCAGTGCAGGTGATGTATCTCACTTCTCAAGACTTTACCAACAGGGGTAATATTTTATATTTATCATTGTTAGACCCGGAAAAAGCAGGACAAATTTGGCGAATGATCGCCGAAAGTGATCAGGGCCGCCCATTGAGGGGCAGAGGGGGCAATATGCTGCGGGTCCCAGGCCTAGGGGCCCCCAGAAGGGGAATTTAGTGAGTGGTATTCTGAGGGTATTTTGCCCCGGGCCCCAAAAAAGCTCTGCGCGGCCCTGAAAGTGATGAGATTTCTCAAGTGGCTTTTTCCTCGAGGGAAATATTATGGCAGAGAATAATATTTCACCGAAACAGTCGATCGGAGGGTCTACAAATGATACATTATTCCTGAAATTAAAGGACGTGGCAGCATATTATTTCTTTAATATTTCATTTGGAAGAACTTTTAAAAGTATATGTAAATCTCTTTTACCGATTTTGCGTGACTTTATTATTTCCTGAGATATTTTGACAGAAAAAATAACAAATCAGTGAGCATTCCGCCACTTTGGATTTTGGAGGATATGCATGTTACGTAATAAGCAGTTTCACGCAATTATTTTATCCAGAGGGCAATTGGCTATTAATTAATGAGCCCAAAATAACATTTCGGTAACTACTTCAAATAAGAAAATGACTTAAAACTTTTCAAACAAGACTTCTATATTATTTGGTCATTTAGATGTAGTTTTATATGACTTACCTGAGAAAAATATGTATCCAAGATGGCGGACAGCTACTGTAATTGTTTTAAGTGAACATATTTCAAAAACTAAACACGATGCAAATACACGGCACAGGAGATTTCAATATAATGTTAAACGTTCTTTCAAATGTGATGAGAATATATGTATTGCCGTCCCTTTAAAAGCCTGGAAGCTTGGAACAAACTTTCGTGGCCCTTCGTGGATACGGTGTTTTACTGTTTTATTTTCTGATTAACGAGATAACGCAAATATTTGCTGCTGCTTTAAAATAACCAATCGGTTGGAATATTGATTGTAATTTTTGTCACAATTTTCTTCGGAATTTTCAATAAAAGCCAAGTGAACTTTCTTTGATGCTCAAATCACCCTTCCTCAAAACTTCTTGTTTCCCTGTGGTTATCGCAAATCATATCACCCTTGTGACATGATCAAATCACCCGGGTGGTATACAGAATATGATTAAAATTACCGGCTGCATCAAATGGGATGACATAATTAAAGCATGACTAGAAGATAAATTAAATGCTCACGAGGCACCAACCTTGGTTTCTGATTGGTCACTTTTAACTTGAGGTATGGGTAATAATTGGCCATGCATAAATGAGCTTCGAAAACCGTTTTGATTGGTCGACAGCCTGCCGGAATGATTTGATACTTACTTGCTAGATTTGAAACCCATGACCTGCTAGATTTGATACCCACCTGCGATAAGCAATCTCATTGGCTAATGACTTTGTCGCATTTTGTTAATGCTGCCATGACGTATTAGCAAAAAGTTCAAAGTTCATGAGATTCAAAATGGCGTCAGTGTATATTTGTCAATAAAACAACACGATGACTTTAAATCAAGATGAAATCCCTTCGGTAAGATAATAGAACAGTTTATTGAAAGGTATTTTTAGATGGAAATTTCGAGTGCATATTTTTGTACGTTCATTAAGACCTAAACAACTATAGGCCCTATGGCATGAATCAAACCTGCGGCCCTGCAATTCCGGCGCAGCGCTCTAAAAGCAACTGAGCTACAGAGACCAGTTGTTGAGCTCTATCTGCAAGTTCATGTGTACACTAGTGTTTATACGTTATACTATAAGGCCTTAATTCCATATACACGCAGTGAAACTTCCATTTATATGTAATATTCACTATGACATTATCCTACATGCATCAGCAATTGAACGTCATCCAAAATAAGTGCGTTTAGATAAATAGCTGAAATAAAATGTATAGCGTACATGGGAGTATCTTTCGTGCAACAAAAAGCAAATTTTGAAGAAAAATCTCCAAAATTTGTCATATGAATTTACTTCCGACAGGACGAATTTTGAGAATTTAAATTTTCTTTGTCCTTTGCATGGCAGTGCACAAAATATATCAAGCCTAATGACAACATCAATCACTTTGTATTCCACCGTGGAACAAGCACACTTAAATAGAACTTTAAATGTGCGGCGAGATCTGCATCAAAAGAATCTTTTAAAACGCGTACACCTGCCGGAATTCAATCGTGCCTCCGTAGCCCTTCAAAAAGTGCGATTTATCGCACGCCTCCATGAAGTTGCAATGAAAAGTATATTTATGAAAACCCTACACCATATAGGCCTACTATACATTTCAATATAGAAATTATGAAGCATATATTACTTTCTAAAAGTCCAAACCCGTAGTCTAAGTGTAGAAAAATTTTTACATTCGTGACACAATAACATGCATCACCCGTGCTCCGCTTTTCCAGTTTCCAGGGTAATCCTCATGCCGTGCAATATTCTAGATAGGG